GCGGGGTGGATCGCGTTTGGTTAATCGCGCCAGCGCTGCTAATGTCTTTTCATGGGTACTTGCTGAGTGGTCTGATGAAGAAGTTCTTTGAATTTGATATTGATGTGCAAAGAATGATTTGAGGGACCGGTGTTTCTGAGAGAAATTGCACTCTGCAAGAAGAAATTTGAGGTCCGGACCTGTGTTCTGAGGAGATTTGCAGTGGATAACATGATTAGGAGAAAGGGGACAGTGTCGAGTTTCAACAATGTTGTTCAAAGGGGCATAACGGCCAGGGATCGGATGAGATTAATTTTATACTTGGTGCCTTAATTAGGTCTCAATAGACCGCTTTCTACACTGCTCTATACTGTAAATTGAAGCTATTCCTACCGTCCAAACCCTCCATTTTTGTCGATCTGAAGCTATTCCTAACATCAGGACCGGAGGATGACTGTGATTGTAGGGCAGTGGGCGGTGTGAAGGGGCTGGACGTCCAAAACTTAAGGGTGAAAAGGCAGCCGTTTCTGGCCTCAAAAGCGATCGTTTTCGGCGTCAATTCCACAGGTCCTATATTCTAGTTGTAAAAGTACATGCAACATAATCTACGGAGTAGGTACATAGTCGGGGGGGGGGCTCATATCATCTATGGATGGATGCTGATTTTGGTTCAATGAAAACAAAGCTGATTGGCTGTTCAGAAGCTATGGTTTCTGCCTTGTTGCCTTAGGTGTCTTACCCCAGCTCAGGCCAGCTTGTAGCTTCTGTTGACGGCATCTCCACCTCTAAATGCAGGTCAATCATTGATAACCAACGCCATTCTGTCGGAGATTGAGGGCCTCTGACTGATCATACTATTTATTTTACCATGGCCAGGATCCTACCTGCGCCCCGTTGGGCAATCTTGCTGTCCTTAGTTATCCTCCTTGGATGCATTGTCGTCCCCGGTTGTGAGGCTGCCTTTCGGCGAATTGCAAGATCACAGAAAGCTAACTCTCGTGGTACGAACAGTGGCAGTAAAGCACAAGGATTTCAAGACTTGCGAGCAGTCCGGGTTCTGCAAACGAAACCGTGCCTACGCCGATAACGCCTCCTCCGAGGGCACTTCATGGAGCTCACCCTACGAGCTCGACCCTGCCACCGTACATTTCAAAGATGGCATCCTTACTGGAGTTATTTTCAAAACAACAACTGCCAATGAGAAGGTCCGGCTACCCCTCACGTTGTCTTTCTTGGAATCGGGAGCCGCCCGCATTGTGGTGGACGAAGAGAAGCGGATGAAGGGCGACATTGAAATGCGACATGGCAGCCAAGCGAACAAGAAGCGATATGATGAAACTGAAAAATGGGCCATCGCGGGTGGTTTGGAAGTCAGCAAGTCGGCCACGTTGAATGCTCAGAGCGAAACTGGATTCACCAACATTCTATACGGACCGGACGACAAATTCCAGGCAATCGTTCGCCACGCGCCATTTGGGGTCGAATTCCAGCGAGACGGACAGACCCATGTGCAATTGAACCACAAAGGCTTCTTGAACATGGAGCACTGGCGACCGAAGGTAGACGGCAACGAGGGCGAATCCGGCGAGGACGAGAGCACATGGTGGGAGGAGACATTTGGGGGAAATACCGACTCGAAGCCCCGTGGTCCCGAGAGTATCGCTCTTGATATCACCTTCCCCGGTTATAGTCATGTGTTTGGCATCCCAGAGCACGCAGATTCGCTCTCGCTCAAGGAGACTAGAGGTGGACCTGGCAATCATGAGAACCCTTACCGTTTGTACAACTCGGATGTCTTCGAGTATGAGCTCGAAAGCCCGATGACATTGTACGGAGCCATCCCACTGATGCAAGCCCATCGCAAGAACTCCACCGTCGGGGTCTTCTGGCTCAATGCGGCGGAAACGTGGATCGATATTGTCAAATCAACTGCCTCCTCCAACCCTCTTGCCTTGGGAGCCGCCTCCAGGATAGATACACAAACTCATTGGATGTCCGAATCTGGTCAGATTGACCTGTTCGTCTTCCTCGGGCCCTCGCCGAATGATATCAGTAAGACATATGGTGAACTCACAGGATATACACAATTGCCCCAGCAGTTTGCTATTGGATATCACCAATGCCGTTGGAACTACGTTACGGACGAGGATGTCAAAGAAGTCAACGCCAAATTCGATAAGTACCAGATTCCGTACGATGTGATTTGGCTTGATCTTGAATATACCGATGACCGGAAATACTTCACCTGGGACCCTCTCACCTTCCCTGATCCTAAGGGTATGCAGCAAAAGCTCGATGAAAGCGAGCGAAAGCTTGTTGTTTTGATCGATCCTCACATTAAGAACGCGGACAAGTACTTTGTTTCCGAGGAGCTTAAAAGCAAAAACCTCGCTGTGCTGAATAAGGATGGCGAGATTTACGATGGATGGTGCTGGCCAGGTTCCTCGAACTGGGTCGACTGCTTTAACCCCGCTGCCCACGCCTGGTGGGCCACCCTGCACAAGTTCGACAAATTCAAGGGGTCGCTTCAGAATCTTTTCATCTGGAATGATATGAATGAGCCCTCTGTTTTCAACGGGCCTGACATGACCATGCCGAAGGACAACTTGCACTATGGAAACTGGGAACATCGCGATGTTCACAACGTCAATGGCCTCACCCTTTTGAACGCCACCTACAAAGCAATGCTGGAGCGCAAGAAGGGCGAGGTGCGCCGGCCATTCATCTTGACGCGCTCGTACTACGCTGGGGCCCAGCGGGTGTCTGCTATGTGGACTGGAGACAACCAGGCCACCTGGGATCACCTAGGGGCTTCTATCCCCATGGTCCTGACCAACGGTATCGCAGGCTTCCCCTTTGCCGGCGCAGATGTCGGAGGATTCTTCCATAACCCTGATAAGGACCTTTTGACCCGGTGGTACCAGACAGGTATCTGGTATCCCTTCTTCCGTGCGCACGCTCACATTGATACTCGTCGTCGTGAGCCATATCTGATCAGCGAACCGCACCGGTCCTACATCTCTCAGGCAATCCGCCTGAGGTACCAACTTATGCCTGCTTGGTACACTGCCTTCCATGAAGCGTCAGTTAACGGCACGCCAATCGTGCGACCTCAATACTACATGTTCCCAGAGGACGAGCAAGGCTTTGCCATCGATGATCAGCTGTACCTTGCTTCCACAGGTCTTCTCGTGAAGCCTGTTGTGCAGGAGAACACCCACAGCGCAGAGATGTATATCTCCGACGACGAAAAGTACTACGACTACTTCGATTTCACCGTCTACCAAGGCGCTGGCAAGAAACACGCTGTCCCTGCGCCAGAGGACAAGGTGCCTGTGTTGATACAGGGCGGTCATATCATACCCCGCAAGGACCGTCCTCGTCGCAGCACCGGTCTTATGCGATGGGACCCATATACACTGGTCATTACGCTAGATAAGAACAGCGAGGCGGGAGGTAGTCTGTACGTGGATGATGGTGAGACGTTCGACTACGAGCGTGGTGCCTACATTCACCGCCGCTTCAACTACCGCGAGTCGGTGTTGTCGTCGGAGGACATTGGAACCAAGGGACCCAAGACTGCTGAGTACCTCAAGACTATGACTGGTGTGACGGTCGAGCGGGTGGTGATTGTTGACCCTCCCGCCGAATGGAAGGCTAAGGACACCGTGATCGTCATGGAAGATGGAGCCAAGTCGGCCTCTACGGCCTCATTGGAGTTCTACGAGCAGGAGAGCGGGAAGGCGTCATATGTTGTGGTGAAGAAGCCGAATGTTGCCATTGGGAAGAATTGGCGGATCGAGTTCTAAGCGATGTCTTTCATTTCCTGCACAGTACATGTATGCAATATTCACATCTTTTGGAAGTCAATAGACGTGCATGTCATAGGCAGGTTTTTTTGTTCCCTTATATAAACTTCGCACAATCTAACGCCGTAATATTGAGGATTACCTTCATAATCACCTGGGAACCTAATGTCAAGTCGGCCTTGGGCTTCCTCGTATACTAGGTAGTTTCTATACAAGTGGTCAACACGGCTGCCGAGCGAGTTACTCACCAACTCGACAGCTTGCCTTGCAATTGAGACATGCAACCTCAAGGGGGGAAAGACTAAAAGTACGTTTTCTCCCGCTGTGCTGTCGACTGCCCAGGTGCCATCGAGTTGATCTAGAGTTTGGCGCCTTTTATCGTACACAGAGAGGCTTTTGATCTTCCCAGCGGCTTTTCCCAAGTGGGCTAGCGAGTCAAGTAAACAGATGACCAGCCCAAGTCGGGTGCAGAATCCGTGGTGATCTTGATGTTATTGCGGGTCGTGCACAATCACATTTCCCACCAATGGAATGTCTTGGAATTCCACCGGTTTGTTGTTGATCTCTCCTATTGCCTCCTGGGACATGATTCTTGACGAGACGAAACACTGGGTATATCATGCTACGTTGATATTTGTCTTGCAGGCAGAAACGTCCAAATTCGTATCGAACGAGCTCCTTCCTGACCGGAAATGTGAAACAGCGGTTTTCCATATCTCCAAATAAGGTCATCTCGGAGCAGATAGTACCGGATAAAAGTCCGGGGAAAGACCCGGAGAAAGGCCCGGAGAAGGACGCATCATTGCTTTGTTGGAGAAAAAAATACACCTGCTTTCCGCAGTAGTTTGGGCTCTGACTGGATGACTGGATGACTATCAACAAGCTCACCTTGGCAGAGACGACTACTGGTCACGCCAATACGTCGTCCGGCATAATTCTGGGAACCACTGGGTCACAGCCCTTCAATGGTCAAGCTTCCCCGCATTTCTTGACTATTGGAACGTAGCCAAGACTGGGGTAAACTGAGATCTGAAAGCATTCCATGATATTTAGGGTAACGACATGAGGTCAACTGCTTATATAGCCTGTATGCCCTCTTCTTTGGTCAATTTTCCTGTGTTGCTTTTCTGAGACCCATATCTAAAGGAGTTTCTCGCGGCCTTCGTCCACTTGAAGTAGCGAAGGGTTGTATACCACTCATAATCCGCAGCTATGAACCGCGGCTCTATCGTGAAGGACGATGTCGAGATTGTCGATCAAACTTCTCATGTCGAAGACATTCCCAAGCCTTCTCCGATCACTCAGGTCGGAGACTTTCGTGTTGTCGGTTTGACGTCCGACGATGCAGATTTCTATATCAACTACCCGGAGGAGAAACGAAAAAAGGTCTTCCGCAAAGTGAGTATACTTGACCCAGCCCATGCACATAATATCTGGCTAACTCTCTATCCAGGTTGATAATCGTTTAATCCCCATGCTCGCAGTGCTATACCTGATTTGCCATATTGATCGTGCAAATATCGGCAATGCTAAAATCGAAGGCATGGTCGAAGATCTTAAGATGACTGGGTTGCAGTATAATACTGTTCTTTCTATATGTGAGTTCATTTTCGGCGGCCTACACCCAGCGGGCGTGGTGCCTCTAGACTGATATGTGCTGACTCTCGTCCAATATAGTCTTCATTCCCTACGTCCTCTTCGAAGTTCCCAGTAACATTGTTCTCAAAAGGTTCAAGCGCCCTTCAGTGTACCTTGGCCTCCTTGTCTCAACCTGGGGTGTTGTCATGACATGCACAGGTCTGGTTCAGAACTTTGCTGGTCTTATGGCCACTCGAGTCCTACTTGGCATTTTCGAGTCAGTAGAAATGATCAACCTGTTGTTGCTTCGCAAGTTAACCTTTTTATAGGGCCGGATTCTTCCCTGGTGCTATTTACCTTTGCTCCTACTGGTACATGCCTAGGGAATTGGCGCTTCGTATCTCATACTTTTATTGTGCCAGTGCGCTGTCTGGTGCATTCTCCGGCCTGTTGGCTGCCGCTATTGCCGAGATGGACGGTACTGCTGGCCTTGAGGGGTGGCGGTGGATCTTCATTCTGGAGGGCCTTGCCAGTGTGGTACTAGGTGTTGCTTGTTTCTTTCTTCTCATCGATACCCCGGCTTTATCCAAGCGCTGGTTGTCTCTCGAAGAAATTCGCTACCTGGAGCTTTCAATGTTCATCAAGCAGGGAGGAACTAGTACCGGAGAGTCGGGCTTCAAGTGGAGAGACCTCAAGGTGGTCCTGATGAACTGGAGGATATACGTGCTAAGTTACTTTTTGTTTTGCCAGTCGGCCTTGTCTTATGGTAACAGTCCTTCAAATCTTATACAACACATTGGGCTAATTCGATTCTGCAACCAGGTACCAAGTTCACTCTCCCGACTATCACCAAAGCCATGGGGTTCAGCTCCACGAACGCCCAGCTCACCTCTGCGCCTCCTTATATTGCCGGCGCGATATCTGCTGTCGTGTTTGCACGGCTCTCCGATCGCTTCTATTGGCGAATGCCATTTGTCTGCATTCCTATGATTATTGTTGTGGTAGCCTATTCTATTATTATGTCCCTGAACGGAGAGCTTGAAGCAAAGAAAGGAGTGGCCTACTTTGCGGTCGTCTTGTCTGTCATAGGTATTTACCCCATCCAGCCCGGAGCTGCATCTTGGAATGCAAACAATATTGCCCCAGCATCCCGACGGGCTATGGGCATCGCACTAGTGAACTGCGTCGGCAATATCGGTGGCATACTGGGCAGCTTCATGTATATTGAGAAGGAGAGCCCTAAGTACACAACTGGATTTGGCCTCAGTTTGGCGCTCGGTGGGGTTGGATTCTTTGTTGCATTGTTCCTCGAATGGACATACAAGATGGGCAATGCAAGGAAAGCACGAATTGCCGATGATGCGAGAGTTAACTACACTGAGGATCAGTTGTTCGATATGGGAGACAAGTCGCCACTGTTCAAGTATGTGTTGTAAATACTTGGTAGGCCGGAATGAATTTATGATAGTGCCTTTTCTGATATTGTGATGGTCTTACAAGAGTCTCCCGAAGTCCTGATATCTTCATTCTCAGGTAAATATACAAGCTAAGCCAGCGTGAACCTCCTGGGCATGTGCCAACCCATATCAGATGGTTTTGTGTCGATTTCACTTTCCTGTTCGGGTTCTTTCCGTTTATTTTCTTTCTTCTTCCTCATCCCTGTGCGCATCTCTAAGTCTTCTGGTGAGCCATCATTTCAGCACTTTTCCCTTTGCCTATCAACTCACTTAATGATACTATTCAGAAGGACATCCACCCAACCACCGGCATCATGACCAACGAGACGTCAACAACCCCATCTGAGCCTCAGCCGACTGAAGCTGACCCCGCGAATCCTTACTATGGGATGCATGGTCATTACTGGAAGTCAAGCAGAGACGTGCCGCCCACCAGATGGCTGTAAGCATTCCTTTGTATTGGACTGTTGAATATGGCTGACCGATTCTCTCAGTCAGGAGAATAAGAAGCTCTGCGCTTGTGATAACCATCAGGCAACTCAATGGCCGATGGAACACGCAGTCATTGTGAGTGAAGACCCCCCAAACCGTCCATTTCAGGCCGAGGCTAATCCTTGTTGCCCTTAGACGATTCCTCCCTGCGCCTACAAGTGTCCCTACTGCCCAAAGTTTGATGACCTCGATAACACGGCCTCTCAGGTGGTGAAGCTCCGGGCTCATATTAAACGTGACCATTTGGTGAGACTATCTGTCATCTGTGGATGACTTGCGGCATAGGTACTGATATCCATTAGAAGAGAACGCCGGATGAATTCCCTGGACTCACTGTCACCCCGGGAAGAGTGACGAAGCCGCGCGTGCCGTGAGTTAACCTTGTTAAACTGCAACTGTCTGCTTCTAATCTCGTTGATCCTTCTAGAAAGCCACGATGGTGATCGTGATCGGGTTCGGTGGTTTGTGCTCCATACATATCCCAGACTGTTGAATCTCAACATGATATTCCCCATACCAAGAAGAGACTTTGTACGCAAAACAGAACTTCAACCAGAACAGAATTTACTTTTGCTTTTACCTTCTCGCTCCCTTTTCTGCCCCTTGATCAAAAGGATTAGACAATTTTGGCAGAAACATAAATCTACATAAAGTCGCCGCCTCGCAGAGAGTCGCCTACTCCAGACAGCAAATACAGCATTAGAGCATCTTCAAACTCAGGGGAGGAATGTAGAACTGGTCCGTGTCAGCCAGACCATCGAACTTAACATTGAACCTCCATAGAAATGATGGACAGATCTTCCACCCACGGTGAGCCAGGACAGGGGGGCGAATAAAAGAGATGTCAACATGATGCTCAAATCAGTCAAGTATGGTGGATTTATTGTTCGGATTGTTTTCTCTTTTTCAAAAGCAGAGGTTCGAGACCATATTCTGGAGAGATTGAAATTGACTTCATTACAAAAACAGAGGCTAATGGGGTAGATACAATAGGTAAGTAGAATTCCACAAACTAGAAAAACCTCCTCGCTACATCCTGCCCCGCCCTCAACGCATACTCCACCAACTCGAACATATTAAACCCACTCGCATAATACGTCCCTCTCTGTCCCTGCAGCCCCTCAAAAAGCTCATAGTATCCCTCCCGCAGCTGTTGGGTGTCATAATGCGGAAAATACTCGTTCTCCTGGAACGCCAGCACGTCCTCATCACTCACCGTCCCAGCAGACACACCCGCATCCCTCGGGTCCTTGTTGAACGCCGACAGGGTGCTCTTCAGTCGCGCGTAAGCTTGATCCCGCGTCAAGCTCCCGCGGTACGGGCCCCACGACGACGTAATGGCGATGTCAAGATCGCTGTGCAGCTTTGTGAACACGACGGGGTCGCCGGTTGCGTCGGGGGGAAGGCCCGGGTGGGCGCTTGCCGCGCCGAAGGTCATGGTGTGGGGCGTGGAGAGACGCACGGCGCCGGAATAGAAGCTGTGGGTGCCCACTGGTGTGAAGACTTCACGTTCCTCGTCGGATAGGTCGAGGCCTGCGTTTTGGAGCGAGGACAGCGTTGGCGGAAAGGCGAGTATCAGTGCTGCGCAGGGCTGGGTCTTGGGCGTGCTGTCGCTGGAGGTGTGGTATGTGATTATGGGTGACTCGCCGGTGCGATCTGTCGACCATCCTGGGGTTAATAATTCCGTGTTTGTTCCGGGGGAGTCAGTGGAGTGCACTGACCGATGTGCGAGATGGTCGTGTCTAGATGGATTTCTCCGGTGATAGATCTGTCGGCGAAGATTTGCAGCGCCAGGTGGAAGTCTACTACATTAGTACGGTATGATGTGCCCTAGGAGTTAGATAACCCACCTGCAATCTCGATCATGCTGCCTTGTTGGACTTTGAGGAGCGTCATCAGCACCGACGGGGTCAGGTATTGCAGCATGTACACCTGGGTATTTAGCACGGATCAAGCAAGGTCTTCGCTCCAGAGGCAGACGTACAATTGGCACTTGACGATAGTCCCCATAGCCGTATGCGACCATCGACTGCACAAACGCCGCCTGCAGGGTTTGGTATCCATTACGCGCCAGCCACTCAGCCGCTGGAACGGTCAGCTCGGGGGGAATGCCGTGCTACATGTTGCAATCAGCTGCCGTCTAGGTAAAGGTACGATTTGATAATACTCACTCGATAACCCGGGGCGATGTTGTAGAGGACAAAGTTCTCGTTCCACCAGTCTATGTATCTCCGCACCTCTTGCATGAAGAGTTGCATCGCCTTTGGGGGAAGAGGGGGCTTGGCCCAAATTGACCCGCTGGAGGCATTGTACTGCCACTTTTCGCCGGAGACGAAGGGAACAGAATTCACTCCAGTCTTTAGCAGCAGCTTAATTGATTCCCGGTATGTTGGGGGCGTGAAGATCAGGGCTCCAAGAGGACTGAAAGTGGAACTGTGTCGGTCTGTCAGCCGGTGACCTTTCTCCCGAGCCAGAAAGGCAGCACGTACTTCTCATAAATGGCTTGACACTTCCCTCCCACCGCACTCTGTTTCTCAAAGGTCACCGTGCGGTACCCGTTGAGCTCCAATTCTGCGGCCGCACTGAGTCCCGCAGGGCCAGCTCCCACAATGCAGACGGGACGATCTGGGTCGCTGGCTAGGACGCAAACGCCCAGCGCCAGGAGGACAAATTTCATGAGCAGCTTCATTTTCGAATGTGTATGACCGACCGAAGAACGAAGCTTCCGCACATAAGGAAAAGGACCTATGATATTTCTGCCCCCACGCAACGAATCCAACATTTAGCCTCTTGGGGCTGACAGAGCCTGACAGGCAGCGAGCAAGCAGCACACCGGATATTTCGCCCCCATGCATGCAGATGCCGTGGCATGCACATGGCTCATGCACGACCGTGAGTTCTGGCCACGCGGCACACGCTATGGTATCTTGACAATAGGTTTAGACCTGGACAATGCCCATGGGTATGGTAAAATCTAATACATACCCATACACATGGGTACATGTGTATTTTGTACGGAGTAAATTCTCGTCGCCAAGCCCTTTAAACTAGCTAGAAAAGTACCTTAATAGAGCACGGAGTTCTTGGCAATTAGGGTAAAAATAAATACCGGCATATTTTTGGCCCCCATGGGTACTTTACATGGGTATTGGCAAGTCTAAATAGGAAGGTGGGAAGGTCAGGAAGTAGCTCTGGTTAGTACAAGGATTCTATATTATTTTAGGCTAAACAAGCTTAATTTTGATTATATTTTCATTATATTTTAATATGTTTTTAGTATGTTTTTAATTTGCTTTTCAACATGCTTTCAATGTGTTTTTAACGTGTCCTTAACTACATATATGTACCAGAATGGACTCTTATCTCATCTCTCCTAAATTTACCTCCCCGTGGATCTACATATGTATCCCGTTTGGAGGGCTGTTATATATGCAATACAGTGATTTAATTTTCCGCCAGTTGAAATTTTGACATAGGGTTTTATCCCCGAGGGCCACAACTGACGGTCCTACACGTGCCAGTCAGCGAACGATAGTTTGTTGGTGACCCGCTGCTAGCGGCGCCACTCCGCTGCTGACGGCGCATCTCGATAGTCGTAGAGTCTGGCCCCCTGGTCTGACTCTTCTACAGCACCGGTCTGCATTATTCTGTTCTAGCGTGGCCCCATTTCTATCCGCCTCTGGGATTCTATACAGTAATCGACATATACGTGCGAAGGCAATCTGACCTATATTGGCCCCTCTTGTAATCGGAATACGGCGTAAGCAGGGCTTTTTATGGGGCCAGGTCAATCACACCATCCTTCGCTATCGTCACTATCTTTAGTGCTGATATCAGCTTAGTGAGGCATGGTTTAGCGAGGCCCATGCGTTCGCAGTGTGAACGCTTGTATCCATGGAATAAGGCTGACTCAAGCTTAAGAATCTTTCGAACGGGAAGATACGCGTGGGCCGGCCCTAGCCTAACTCCAAATGTTAGATACATATATGTGATTTTAGGATGTCGGTGGGGTGGGCGAGAGAAAGGCTCTTTCTGGTTCCACGCATACTAACCGGGCATAGATAGAGGAAGGTCAAGGAGAGCCTCTCCTAGTGATAGCATCATTGGACCAACTAACCTTCTCTGTATATCTACCTCTGCTTCTGGAACCAAATTAATCTGGCAACATGACAGCCACCGGCCAGGGAGACCCAGGTCCCAAACATATCGACCTGTATGGGAATGTCTACGAAGTGCCCGAATTCACCATGAAACAGATCTACGCCGCCATCCCAGTCCATTGCTTTCATCCATCCACCGCTCGCGGCCTGGGATACGTAGCCCGGGACCTTACCCTGCTCGGTAGCCTGGCCTGGATAACGTACATCTATACACCTATGCTCCCGAGCATTGCCCTCCGCACGATGGTATACACCCTATATACCGTGATCGCCGGGATGATCATGACAGGAATCTGGATTCTCGCCCACGAATGCGGCCACGGTGCCTTTTCTCCCTGGAGAAGAATCAACAACCTCGTCGGATTCGTCTTGCACTCGTCCCTCCTAGTCCCGTACTACAGCTGGAAGATCACCCACTCTCATCATCACAAAGCGACGGGCGACCTGCAACGGGATACTGTTTACGTTCCGCACAGCCGGGAGTATGTCTCTGCCTCTACCTAGCCATCGATCATAACCGGCTTGCTTGCTAATGGGAAGGCGACATAGATACCTCGTAAAATCCACCTTTGGCCAAGACGCCAATTCCCACGGCTTCACCGAGCTGACCGAAGACGCGCCCATCGTCACACTCTGGCACTGTCTTCTTTTCCAAATCTTCGGCTGGCCCCTATACATGCTCGACAACCTGAGCGGGCAGAAGGGTGCCTCCGGCTTCCCCCAGCACAGCCATTATTGGTTTGGCGCCGACAGCGCGCTGTACAAGGAGTCGGAGCTGTTCTCCGTCTTTCTGAGCGATCTCGGCGTGGCCACCACGTGCGTCGGACTCTTCCTCGCGGCGCAGGTATTCTCCGTGTGGACGGTTCTCGTCTTCTACGGGATCCCGTATCTATGGCTGAATCAGTGGGTTGGTATGTTCGCCTTCCACCATCATCCCTATTCTACACACCTCTTCTTCTCAAATCTAATCAATTCAAATCAATCACACACTGATGTATAAAACACAATAAAATAATATAGTCGTTATCACCTACCTCCAACACACAGACCCCACCCTCCCCCACTTCACCAACACGAGCTGGACCTTTGCCCGCGGCGCCTCCGCAACTATCGACCGCAGCTTCTGCCTGGGGCCCTTAGATATCGACAAACATTTCTTCCACGGCATCGTGGGCACCCACGTCCTGCACCACCTCTGCTCCTCCATCCCCTTCTACCATGCCTATGAGGCGACGGATGCGGTGCGCACCGTCATGGGTAAGCATTATCGCGAGGATCGGGACACGCCGCTGATGAAGGCGCTGTTTCGCAATGTTAGGGATTGCCAATTTGTCGAGGAGAGTGCCGGGGTGGAGGGCAGTGGGGTTTTCTTCTTTCGGAATCTGCATGGACGCGGTGTCAAGCCTAGGGATGTGGCTTTGGGGGAGGGGTTGAGTGTCTGGGAAGGGCATTTGCCGGTTTCTTGGGATGTGGATATCAAGAAGAGGGAGGGGAAGGGAATGGGGAGGGATCGATGGGAGTGGAGGGATTTGATGGAATTTGTTTGGTGATTTGTCGGTTGGGGTTGCTGTCCTATAATATTTCTCAGGGTTATATATTTGTGGTGTGAGCATATGTCATAGAGTATTAAGTAGATATATAGTTATTGTTAGGACTGAACAGTCCATTGATATTGCAATAAGGCACTCTTCGTATGATTCAGTGCGGAAATAAAACCCATCTCGTCGTGGAGTAGAGACCGAAGACGATGAGATGAGACGAGATGATATAGTCTGTATTTCTCGCCAACCCTTCCATGGCATCCATGACCGGTATTACATTGTACCCAACCAATCTACATATGTAACAGACCACCCGGCAATCGAAGCTAAACACAACAAAAACCGAGTCAGCCAGAGAAGAACCCCTGACCTGACCTACCTCCCTCCCTCCAAATCCCCCTCCTCCCTCTCATCCCTAAAATTTTGCTTCCCTGCCAACCCCCCACTAACGACATCATCCCTACCGACCAGCAAACTGACCACGAACCCCGCAACCGACAACCCCATCATAACATACCACATGGTCGCCAGACTATCTGCATAAACCCCCCGATAAACCTCCTGCACTGCCTCGGGAAACCTCCGAATAACTGCATACGCCGTCTCCGCCACGTTACTCTCCACAATTAACTCATGGGGTATGCGTCCAGCCGCCACAGCAGAATCCACATTCTTACTCCACTGATTCTGGAAGATAACACCCCCCAGCCCTACGCCAAAGGCTGTTCCCATACTGCGCGTAAAGACCTGCATGGACGTTGCAATGCCGATGTCGTTGCCGTGTTGGCGGGCCTGCACGGCGAAGATGGGCGTTGGAAAGAGGAGTCCGCCGCCTAAGGAGACGAGGACGCGGGGGCCGTAGAGCATGGCTTTGGTGGAGTTAGGGTGCATTGTTATCTGTGTGTTTTATATTACATTGTTATTATTATTATTCTTCTTCTTTCGCTGGGAAGGTTTCTATTGGGAGAAGATGCGAAGAGAAGGGAGACGAGGAAGGTGCATACGTTTGATCCCATTCCGGCTGCGAGGAGAGCCCATCCCACCACGATGATGTATTTAAAGTGCTGGGTGCGTTTGACGAGCATGCTGGCTACGAGTCCTGCGGGGGCGGAGTAGGCAATGCAAGTCATTGTCTCGAGGGAGGCGTGGAGGACGGAGTGTTGGAGGGCGCCGAGAAACTGTTATATTAGGTAACTGGTGTCAGTCAATGTTGCGAGTTAGGATGAGCAGGAATGATAGATGAGGAATGAATGAAATGGAGGAAGAAGACATACAAACACAATCATATAATAAGTCACACACCAAAACACCAACCCGTGCAGAAAGCTCGTCACGAACCCGACAATCGCAGAGCGATCATTAAAGATCCGCAGCGGCATTATGGGCCTCTTCGACACGCGCCACTGCGTAAAGATAAAGAGAGGAAAGAGTACCGCGCCCAGAACCAACGGAACCAGGATGGCAGCCGAGTCCCACGGATGCGAAACGCCCCCCGACGTCAACCCGACCAGGAACAGCGTGGACGCGCAAGTGAACACACCCAGTCCCACCCAGTCCAACATCCCCAGCTTCTTGACAAACGACGACGTATCGTGCTGCAACTGCAATGCATACAGCAATCCCACGATACAGACCACGCAAACGGGGATATTGATATAAAAGATCCACCGCCAGGTCGTCCTTTCCCCGATGGCACCTCCAATCGGGATCCCGATATTTGTTCCTAGCGACCACGCGAACGCCGCGATGGCCATGTACAGACCTCGCTCGCTCATCGTCGAGATATCAGACAGGATGACCTGCACCAGCTGGATCATGCCCCCTGCGCCGATGCCCTGCACCACGCGCGCGCCGATCAGCCACGTGATGGTTTGCGCGGTAGCGCAGAGGATGCTACCGAGGAGGAAGATGGAGAGCGCGATGAGGATGGGCCACTTGCGGCCGAAGATCTCGCTAGTCGCGCCATAGAGCGGAATCGTGACTGTCTGTGAGAGGAGGAAGGATGTCCCGACCCAGAAGGACTCGACGCTGCTGCTTTGGAGGTCTTGCGCTATGGCTGCCAGTGCGGAGCCAACTATTACGGCGTCCATGGAGCCGACGACCGTTACGAGAGCCAGGAAGAGGACGGTGAGCTTAAACTTGAGAGATTTGGGTTGCGGCTTCTCGTTCCCATCTTGTGAGGAGGACGTTGGTCTATCCAGGTGGTCTTCCTCGTCTTCCTTCCCTTCTGAGAAGGGGGTTGTCGTTGGATGTTTCTTGCTTATTATGAGGTGCTCAGCACCGGTAGGGGTGGAAGTCATGAGAGACAGTTGTGAATTGAGAATGGAAGTGGAAGGCTAGTGGTTGGTAGGTGACAGTTGAGGTACATGTATGTAGGTTGTAAATTCTGCGACGATTTGGCTGCGAGGTCACTCGAGGTACGGAGTATGTAGTGACCGACTTGTCCTAGGTCTCCCTGTTGGTCCCTGCTTACAGTCTATTTGCCATTGCAATCCATCGCTGGCCCCACCACCATGCTGTTGGGTAATATCAGCCATGCTTGTCAGATGCTAAGAGACTAACACTGCGGGAAGGATTTTTCCGTCGTAGCAGATGGGTAAAGATTCTTCTTGTATCGGCATTACCCGTAAGCACTAAATGAGTGGCACCCGGTGGCGACAGTCAGTTGCTAGCCTCTTAGTGCCAGCTTACGCTTGAATACAGAATCAGCCTCACAGACAGAAGGTAATGGTGGGAGTCAACTACCGAATGGACTCTGGAGCCTTGCACATGTGGCCATTAAAACCAATCACGATTGTGAATTTCAGTTGGTCTCAATCCAAGCGGAGACGTCAATTAGTGGGAAGTACGGTTTGACGAATGGTCTCAACATTGAAGCATGGATTCCAGGCTAATCAGGCTAATCAGGCTAATCACAGAGTAACTACCTGGTGATTTTGGGGCCAAAAAATGGAGTCAATGTCTGTGTGTTTTGTGCCGGTTAGATAGGGCCTTGCTTGCTCTGTTTCTGTATCTTTGGGCTCCGTTTCGTATTCTGTATCGTTATGTTTTGTCCAGCCCCACTTCGGCCCAGACGGTTCGGGGCGACTCTCAGCCGCTGTGGACCCGCCGAGCTAATCGCTGATTTTGACAAATGCATCGATTTGGGGGCCAAACTCTCAGCACATTAGTTTCCGCAGATAGTCTGCTCATTACATAAATGTATATGCGATAGGGAGAAGTAAGATGCGACGGTTTCATTGGTATTCCTTTTCGCGAGGCTGAATCGAGACCCGGTGGGAGAGGGGCTTGGTGCAGCTGGCCTAAGGTTATTAAAACAAAGAACTCGAAAGCCCAACAGAGCCATTAGTAGTGATGCTATGACAAACACGTACTAGTCACCCTCGCTGCACCCCAACAGATTCATCCATGACAGCCCTCGTCCGATTAACCCTGCTCCGGCGACACCTCGATTCTTCCTTTCACCTCCGCCCCTCCTCCCTCCTCGACTCGATTCCGCCGCCACCGCTGCCCAGCACAATGATCGAGAATCCAGACAAGGACGAAATAGCGATGGAAAAACCCATCCCTCCTCTCCCAAAAGAGCGACTATCCCTCCCCCACCGCCTAAACTGTTTCCTCCAACTCTGGCTGCTCAAATCCCTTGCCACCCTCTACTTCCTCTACCTCCGCCTCGTCAACCCCCCTCAACCGGGCACCCAACCAACCCTGACCAAGCGCTACGCCTGCCGCCCAACCCTGGAAACCCGCATCTTCTACCCGCGCTCCTACGACTCCGCCCAGCGCCAACTCCTCCCACTCTACCTGAACATCCACGGCGGCGGCTTCGCGCTGTGCGACGCTACCGTCGATGACCCCTTCTGCAGCGCCTGGGCTAACCGCACCGGAATGCTAGTCGTCAGCCTCAACTACCGCAAGGCGCCGCTCCACCCCTTCCCAACAGCCACCTTTGACGTTGCCGAAGTAGCCAAGTGCGTGTTAGCAGATGACTCCCTCCCAATTGACCACTCGCGCATCGCCATCGGCGGCTTCAGCGCAGGCGGCAACCTCGCGCTGTCTGCCTCGCAATTCCCCGGTCTGAAAGGCCTGATAAAAGCAGCAGTGATTTACTACCCCATCGTGGATTTCGGCCACCCACCCAATGAAAAGCTAGATTCGAGACCGTACAAAGGTGGTCCGAAGGATACGCTGGAAAAGACCTCCTGGTGGCTGGACTGGGGGTATGTGAGTGTAGGGCAGAATCGGAGGGATCCACTGCTCAGTCCGGTGTATGCGAGGAGGGATGAGCTGCCGCCGTGGATCTATATGATTGGGGCGCAGTGGGATATGCTCCGGTTAGAGACGCAGCACATGATTCATGGGTTGGCGGGGTTAGAGGATAGAGTCGGGGTTGAGCAGGAGGAGGACTTTGAGGTGGGCAGGTATAAGTGGACATTGGCGAGGGGGTGTTCGCATGGGTTTACCCATGCGTCGCCGGGACGGAAGAAGGGGGGAAATAGTAGGAGGAAGAGGGAGGAAGTTGCGAGGGGGATTTATGAGGAGGCGCATGAGTGGTTGAAAAAGTCTCAGGTTCTTTCTTAGGTACCGTACCTACGTAGGTTTTCTTTAAAACGACATTGCTCTTATGGGTCTTGTTGGTTTGATCGAATAGAGTAGGTGTTTCCAAGGAGTGAGGTCAGGAAGGCATTGTTGTTGGTGCCACGTGACCCCACTCAAGCCCTAGGACTTCCAGTAGTTAGATCCTCAGTCTCTCTCTTCTCTCTTTTCCTCTCCAGAGTCCATCAGTCCATAGTACCAATACATGTGTGTATTTGCACTATCTTCTTATCTCTTCCGCTGACAATAGGTCGTATCAACCTAGATCTAAAAGGGATGCCGGGCTAATTGTAAAGAAATACTAGTTGTCAGGCGAGTTGAACAGTGGGGGTGGGGGAGAAACGTATGATATTCTTTGTGCAGAGACTAATTCTTGCTAAGTCCAAGTTTCCCGGGGGAGGCACTCTTGTACCTCTTCGTCCCTGAATCGTATCCGTCACGATGATGTGTTCAGCTAGCTTCCGAGTCCTCTTTCGGACACTGGCAGTTGTCAGGGTGATCGCATGGTCAATCCTTGGCAAACCTCAAAGAAGCTCGAGACAAAGAAGTTAAATGTATATCAAGATCTTGGTTCCGCATCCATAGCGCTTTTCCTTTACACTAATGGCTTAAGACCGGATTAATAGGCATAAAAAACATGTCTAACCCGGTATATACCATCCGGAATCTCCTTCTATAAGATCCCCTAGCCCGGTATACCCTTTAGGAGAGCCTTAGTAGGTGAGAAACACCTAAGAGCCTCTACGAGACGTGATAGAGGTTCACGAGCTCTTTCACCGTAAGGTAGATAGAGGTACTAGATTATGTAGGTTAGCACTATTGCCCGTCTCTTAGTAGGTATTCTCCTTTAGAATGATAGATACAAATTTCTAGTTTGTATACCAGAGTGCGAAATACCTAAGGACTAGCTCCTTTAGCGCGAATAGCGAGCGATGGCGATATATCGTAGTAGACATTAACGCAATATAACAGCTATAAGAGCCCTCTATAATTCCCACCCTTCTTCAATCTTCCTTAGCTGGCTAGAGAAGGGTAGCTAATGAATGTCTTTGTCGGGCTTGTATATTCTCATATCGACTCCCTTCTCGTCGTTTAGCCCCCTGTATAGTGACAGAGATATCGAATATGCCGCGTAACCTAGCACACTTGTACTTATAGCAACAGACGTGTAGCGAAACAAAAGTTGTTCTTTCAAAGCTAGCAAGAAAAAACTTCATCATTATCTCCACCTGGGCAGCCATTCATAAACGTTACCTAGCTAATAAGCTTACCAATACCCCCAAAAGGAAACATAGCCATGTAGTCAGACATTGTCGTTTGGCAACTAATAATCCGATTCTGTCATCGTCGAATCATTTTCCTCCTGGCCAGCCACAAGCTGCCATGTCGGTTCCCGGGTCGGTCTTTCGTCGATCAAGTCAAACGGGTTCTCAAAGTTCCCATCTACTAATCCCCAGATCGAAGCTTGGGAGATTCGACGATAGTACGGATCCTCCACCTGATTCGCAGGACACCCCGAGTCATCATCGTCGGAGTCATAGTCGGTGAACTCAGCTTCATTTGTGTATTGTTCATATTTGGCAATTTCACCGTCAGGGAACTCATACTGCATCAAAGTGTCCTTCAGTGCTTCTTCAGAAAGCACATGTTGCAGTTCGAGGTTTTTCAGTTCGAGGTTCTTCAGTCGGATATCCTTCAAGTCGAGGCTCCTCTCATCGTCCTGTGAGACCGCGTATCGAATCGAGAACTTCTTCTTTTCATCCTCAGAAAGGTCAAATCCCCGAGCGTTCTGACAACAACCACACTCGACAGTGCAGTGCCCAGCTGCACGCTCGCGATCCCAGTCCAGCTTGCGTTCAAGGCAGCATCCACAGTCACGCCCACAGCAGCCTCCTCTGCCCGCACAGTCCTCCCGCAGAACGCGATGCAAATACCATTTGGGATTTCTCCGCCAGAGCTCAAAGCCTCGCTCCAAAGGCCCGGAGAAGGAATCCCGGATCATCCACCACTCGTGCTCAAGTCGTTTGTATTCCTTCTGTGTGGCTTCGAACGCTTCCTCCAGTCTCGTTGGATCTTGTGCAAATTGTCCTCTCAAACATATTTCCCGTTGAGCAATCTCTCGGAGTCCGGTCTCCAAGTCGAGGAACTCCGCCAAACGATCCTCTGCCTCGTCGAGGTCTTGTTCGTACACGTAGCGTTCATATCGACATCGCTGAAGAGCATTTATATCTCTACTCTGTTTGAGTTCGTGTTCCTTCGTGCCTTCCATACCACGCCTGAACTTCTTGGATATCGCCAGCCTGATTATGTCTGCTCCATTTTTCTGGAACTCGGTTTCCATTTTTTCGAGCTTTCCTATCTTTTCCTTGAGTTCAGTTTCCTTCTTTTGGAGTTCTGCTTTGTCGATATTCATGTTAAGCTCCTCCATTTTGAATTCAGCTTTGCGTCGTTCGATTCTAAGCTCATAATTTTCGACCTCGGCTTTGCTTCGTTGAAGTTGAAGCTCGTGCTTTTCGCGTTCAAGCTCCAATTCACGGTTTCGAAGCTGACCTTCACGCGTTTGGAGCTCGATCTCCTTTGCGGTTTGATACATTTTGGATATTTCAGATGGGAAAGAGGGAAAGTTCAGGAGAATGCAAGTCATGATTTTGTTTGGAATCATATCGACGACTCATTGTGATGTCAGGTAACTACATGTATATCTATACAGGTCCGTATCCAAATCGGGCAATACCTTTCAACGTTCTATCCAAGATAGGCAAATGACGATTTAATAAAAGCCCATTAATCTCATTGGCTCCAACTACGCCAAGTCACCCCCACCTGTGCAGGGCAGGTGGAGAACTCGCTGACATAATCCAGGGCACCCGCGCCAAGCCGCATCCAGTCGTGTGTCCCAAAGCTTGTACCTCTTTTTTTTCCCTCTTTGACAGATTCTTGTCTTCATTGTCGTCAGTTTTTCCTTTGTCGTGAGTACCTGCAAGACGCGACTCCTCACGCGATCGCGTCGACCCGACTGCTGTTTTTTATTCAATTATAGCGACTGCGCATATCCCCATCGCCCGCCATGTCTCTTTTCCAGATGGCCTTTGACTATGCGGCACCTGTCTTGTACGTGGCAGTGAACGATCTTCCAATTGATCCGCAAGTTTCCAGTGCTAACTGAGTTCGTACACAGCCTTATAACCTCTCCCGTCACCTCCTATGCCGACCAGATCTTCAGCATTCATCGCACAAGAAGCTCAGCGGGCTTCTCTTTGGACATTCCTTTGATTATGCTGATTTCGTCGATCCTGAAGTACGATTCCGATAAATAGTGCGTTTAAACTTGAGGCGGCAGGCTAATGGTGACATTATTAGGATTTTCTATTGGTTTGGCGAGTACTACTCAGGCACTTTGTTGACGCAAGCAATTGTCATGATCGTGGTGCAGATCACAATGCTCAAGGTTTCACTCGATAATCGGCCCTCCGCCGGGGTGAGAAATGGAATTGAGCACACACCCTTCAGTGGCGGTAACTCCGATGGTTCATTCTCAAGACCCTATGAGTTTTGGCAGTGGAAGGCCACCAAGCCGTAAGTTCGGGCGCCTCCTACCGCAGCAAACTAAACTAATGACCGATCTTTAAAGATATTGGATGTCTCTGGGTTACTTTATCGGAATGCTGACCGTCGTCCACCTGACCCCGATCGCCCAGTCGCAATTCTATATTAGCCTCCTTGGCTACATCGGACTCGCCGTCGAAGCTACCCTCCCTATCCCTCAAATCATTGCCAACCACCGATCCGGGTCGTGCAAGGGCTTCCGAGTCTCCGTTATTGCGGCTTGGATTCTCGGTGACACCATGAAGATGAGCTACTTCTTCAACAGCACAGAGACCATCCCATGGGCGTTCAAGCTCTGTGGTATCTTCCAGTGCGTGTGCGACTTCTACCTGGGTTTCCAGTTCTATTTCTTCACTCGAAACAGCCACTCCAAAACCCCGTCCCACTCCCACTCCAATTCACTCTCTAACGCGTTCTCCAACCCACACTCACACTCCAACTCACTCTCCCACGCCTTCCCTCTCTCCGCTTCTCACTCCCGTTCCAACTCCCAGACAGCAGGCGAGTCTATGGAGCAGAATGGTCGCTGGGGTCACCATGAGAAGGATATCCGCATGAACTGAAAAGCCGGATGATGAACTTGGACTAGACTCAATATTTATGTAGATAGGTAGCATTGGCAAACAGCATTATAGAACTGTAATTTGAATGAGATAATGTCAATACCGTCGTGTTTTATAACCCAAAAAAATTCCTAGGCCTTCTCCGATTGCGGGCGTCTGGTGAGGGGCTTGCCCCGCGTTACTCGGAATGCTACTCTACTCCAACATTTGCGCGAACCTCTTCCCCCCGCGACCCCAGCTCTACTGTCCCTGCTTATTCTGTTTATTCTCCGAGTTAGCAAAGCAGCTAGGTCTTGCACAATGGCTGACCTGCCCACAATCCGCATTGGCTATGTGCCCGGTACGTCAGCCTCTCCCATGGCTTCGGCATTAGATGGAAACAGACTGCAGTACTGCCATCTCTAAGCTGCTTGCTCCAGTCATTTCTACCTTCCATTAGACAGAACATAGCTAATGGCAAGCTTTTACTGCCTACTAGAGCACTACCTAACCCCACTCCATCTCGCACTACGTTCCCCGGCCGTTGCTTCCCTCCCATTCAAAATCGCCATAAGTCCCTTCCCGTCCGGGACAGGACACATGATCACATCACTCCGCGGAAATGAAATTGACATCGCCATTGGGTTGACGGAGGGATGGGTCGCAGGCTTGGCTGGAAAGCAGCAAGCAAGTCAGACCTCCGCAGATGCAGATGGAGGATACAAGATTGTCGGCCACTGGGTGGACAACCCTCTGCGCTGGGCTATCGTCACGGGTCGAAATAGGGACGAGATCAAGGGAGTGTCGGATTTGAAGGACAAGAGGGTTGGAGTCAGCCGGCTGGGAAGGTAAGCCATCGACATTGAGTCCTAGCGAGCACAGTATAGCTTGAGACTAACACATTCGCTAACACTTTTGCCTACAGTGGCTCTCATATCATGTCCTTTGTTCTTGCCCAGCAGCAAGGCTGGAAAGCCGATTCTTTAACTACCGTCCCTCTGGGACCATTCGGGCCCTTGCGAGATGGCGTGTCGGACCTCGACAGCTCAAAGCCTGACCAACCTGCAAACCCATCGGCTGAGTTTTTCATGTGGGAGGAATTTACCACGAAGCCGTACTTCCATGCCACATCTGAGAAACCGAACCCGCCGCTTAAGAAGATTGGCGAGATCTTCACGCCCTGGCCTTCGTGGATGATTGTCGCTTCCACGGCGCTGTTCCCCAACCCAGAGCTAGACCAGCGATTGGAGAGTCTTTTCCAGGCGCTGGATCAGGGAATCGAGGATTTCGAGGCTGATACTACGGAGGTTGTCAAGCTTCTGGGTACTGGCGAGCTTGGCTGCAATTATATTGAGGAGGATGCAACGGAGTGGCTAAAGGATGTCAAGTTCACTAATGGCACACGTGGTGTTGATGATAAGATTATTGGAGGTGTTGTTGATGTGCTTAAGGTGGCTGGTGTTATTGACTCGGCTATGAGCAATGAGGAAGCTATCCAGCGAGTCATCGGGATCAAGAGGTAGCTTCATTACTGTTTGAACATGGCAAGTCACGATATAAACGATACGCGGAGAGGTGCGCTCGCAATACCCTCCATGGCTGGATTCTGGACTTGCCACATTGACGTGTACAATGCCATGTACCATCTCGGCGCTTAATATGTGAGGAAGTTAAAAGACCAAAAAGCCCCATGCTATGCGCATGGGAACTGATCAAGACTGTTATTGAATAGAGATATCTGTTTGGGCCCCGTGAAACCCATACGCACCCAGCTAAGCCCTGGCAACCATTTTTTACCGCTGGTTGTATAGAAAATTGATCTTGTAGGAATTGTTCTTTTTACGGGTATTCTATGATCCATGGCTAATGATACCAACCTTTCTAGTGATGAGATTCATATTGACCATGTTCAGCATTAGAACGAATCAATTAATTAGGAGATGAGCTAAGTGACTACTGAATTCTGATTGATTGTGAGGAAGTGAACTTTTTCTCGTCAGTAGCCATGCCATGTACGGTTAGTTTTGCTTTTTCCGCTCGCCTCTGTTGCTTGGAGATACTCAATGTATGCCTGTTTATATTCGGCTAACGTCAAGTAAATCTCTCCTGCATCCTGCGATACCAACAAACGTCTTCTTTAAGTCAGTAAGGCAGTATGGAATAGCAGTGCAGTGGAAGGAGAGCTTGCTTACTTGTCAAGTGGACATTGTCGGGAATTCGTGTCCGTCACGATCCACGCAACCATTTCCGCTGCTTCTTGCCAGAGGACTAAAGGCTGACGCCTTCGGTCTCGACTCGCCGCTTTTGCCTCAACAATGGCGAACGTTTCATCAACAACAATCCCTTCAAGAGAGCCATCCGTGCAAGCCGTCAATTCGTTTTGTCCAAACTGTAGAGTTGCGAACGGTCTTCGAGCGGAAGTCCATCGGCAGGCTATATCAGGAATGTTGAGGGTAAGGGCCCTAAGCAGTTCCGTAAGCGCCTCGTTCACAATATGTTCATCCTTGGATCTCGATGGGATCATCCATGACGCATAGGTCGTGGCGGTCCCCGACGGACCACTGGTGCCGAGAGCAAACGGGGACGGGGAAGGGGCCGCTGCGGCGGGACTCGGTGCCTCTGCAGCTCCAGAAACAGCTAGATGAGTAGTCGATCCCGCTGCTGGCTGACTCTGCGAGTCGGGCTGCGAAGATGGATCTTGGCTGGATCGCGGTCGGAAAACCGGAGGAGCCGTTGGAGTCAGATCACTACATTAACCTTGTGACCCAAGGCTTGTAGCTGTGAGTCTCTTGCCAGCTGGAAGGCCCCAAGATTCTCGTCTTCTTTGCCCACACTCTTCTTGGACTCGGCGATACGCGCGATATAGTGTTCAAACGCGTGAAAACCACTCATTATTTCCTCGGTGCGATCTTCGAGCGCTTTGTTCACCGGTATCCTCTCTGCCTTCATACGTCTAGGACGCAGCACTCGCATTGCCAGGTATTCCTTGATCGACATTTTTGAAGCTGAAGGCAGCGCGTCCAATGTGCTGACGGTCTTGCTCAAGACTCCTTCCCTTCAGCTGCCTTTGTCCAGTCCGACACGTTCCTCGGCAAGGTATGTACGATGTTTTTGGCCATATCGAGTGGTAGTGGATCAATATGATACTTGAAGGTGGAGGGAGGGCAAACCTGGCTGGTGATGGGTGTCTGGACAGAGTCCAGCAAGAAAGAAATATTACGCGTGTTCTCAGTGACCTCAAGAGGGAAGGACGTCTTGTCCTTTAAGCCGAATGCATTGGCACGTTTGATTCGATTTTCTTGACTACTCGGTGGCTCCTGCCAACAGCGTAGTCACATCAATCTCTTCGTCTTCTTCACTCGCAACTTCTCTCACTCTTTTGGTGGCATGTGGCATTAGTCCGTAACTAGCTATCTATTCGTGTTTGTAAAAAGCAATCTCCAACATTGAAATATGAAAATACAATGTTAAATCTAGAGCCAGATCACTACACAAGCTCTGGAAGCAAAGGTGGAATCACGTCCATGTGCTCATCGACACTGTGTCCAAGCACCCGAAATGGAAGAGCCGGTCCTCCTGATCTGACAGGGAGGCTCATTATGTAGCGAAGAAAAAGCTCCACGGAGGCCTGAGCCTCGTCCTCGAAGCTGAATGGCTGAGAATACTGTATAGTCAGCCGTTCCCCATCTAATGTAGCTTGCGTGATCCTCCCGTGCTTCTGGCACATGTATGAGATCAGCAACAGCTGTAAATAGCACAAACAGTGTTAGCTCCGTTTTCTAGCGCAGTCTAGAATGCCACTGACCGGCTGGACCTCATCTCTCCAGAAAGGGCCATGCGCTTCCCGACTCCACATCAGGCCAACCAGGCATTTGACTTCATGGAGAGTGATGCTTCGGTCGGCATAATTGGCGGGAACTGCCGCAGTCATTATTGCAATCGCGTGCGGGAGATTTTTTTTCCGATAGGTCTTCCCTAACTTCCTCGAGCTCCCATGCGAGCGCAATCTCTGGTTGGCGACCTTTTTCCATGCAGGACCCCCGGATATCTGTCCTAGTATGAGTGAGCATCCGTGCAATTCATCCATATCGTGCCGAGTCAAGTCGACGCGCTTACCTTTCGCCCCAAAGATGAGTTGACTCCTCGCCTGCCTTAACGCCATGTGGTAGATCAACTCTCTGGGCGCCGAGTTGCGAATCAATGTAGCAAAGTATGTCTCTCGCATTACCTGACCAGTCGTCTAAAGAACAAAATTTCTCTAGTTCGGAATCATAGGCCCTGATCGTGCGCTCGAGGACAGACTCTGAAAATACTTTTTTCGAATTCCGACAGCAAGGAAGGAAAGTTAGGTTGGGAAAACATCGGTGGGATCACTTCCTCAGTCGGGAATTCGAGGATATTCACTTGGTTCGGTAGAAATAAACACGGTTGAAACCGCAGAATGCCATCCAATACTCCGATTTGTGAAGCTTGGATTCCACATATCTTTAGATAATCAGTATCAAGAAAAAATGCCTCGCAGGCCTTGACTCGTTGATAGATTTTTTTTAACAGTTCTCTTCGTGTCTTGGGAGTTCCTTGGTCCATTTCGCGTGGGAGTGCCTATGGGTGGTCTGAGATAGTCAAGAGCAATCGGTTGTCAGATGGAACATGAGGTGGACGATGGGGGAAGAACCTGGGGAGGGGAATTCCGAAGGTGTGTACCATGGTGTTAGGCATGTCACGGGTATCTTCTTGTCGAGGATAAGACGGTGACGTTATACGTGTAACGGGCCAGTGAGCAAAAAGCGGCAAGGCGTGAGCACTAAAACGGAAAGGGAAAGCCATGTGGCGCGGCCTAAAATCCGGTGTATATGTATCCAGTACATATAGTCATCTCATCTTCTTTTTTGAACCTTTTCACGGTTTTATGATAAAAGACTGGCTAAACTATATGACACATTCTTGAGGGGGAGGAGACGATCAAACTACAAAAGAGTGAATGAAAACCAAAGAGAATCTTGCTGAGAATAAAATATACCCTTCCCTTCACCTCCGATTAGTCCTAATAGACCTTTGTTCAATATAAGGATCATCCTGCATCTATTCATGGTCAATGGTATCCGATATATATTTCGGAGCTCCGGCCAGTTTTATGTTTGATGTAATCTTCCTTGATATCCAAAGTTGTCTATTTTTCTTTTTCTTTTTTTTAACTTAGACTCGAGAGATAGCAAAATAAGGGCCAGTAGAGTATAGTTCGACCAACTGAAGGTGTGCCACCGCCCAGCTGATCACCGAGATAACCACCGAGATGACCCCCCAGATGACAAGGGACATGGCTCCTGACCGTGATGGCCGGGTATAGCGCGGTCGCTATGGCAAATCCTAATTGCCTAGAACTAGATTTTACATCCACGCATGCTCATCCCTCGGTGCATTCTTAGATCTGCCCTCGGTCCCCTGACAACGACACTGGAATGCAGACTAGGCCGCCCCAAACACCCCACAATCCAATCGACATACTCCTCTGGCAATATTACTTACACATTTTATCCATTTGGGACCAAAGAATGACTCCAAAACTCTTTTGCAATCGCTGGCGTGGACATGTGGATCATACCATGCGCTCCGGGCACCGGGTCAGGCACTTGAACGGGGAACGCGGCCATTGTTTTTTGAGAATGATAAGGGCAAAAGTCCACTGTATACTATTTAATGATGCGCTATGCTCATCCAGGATGAGGCTCGGTGTTCTGACGCGTCCTTGTCGTTTCCATTCCTATATATTCTCTAATCCCATATATTAATTTCTTCCTTGATATTGATTATTCAAGCCGGGCAGCTACTGTAGTACTGTTGCCATCATGCGTCGGTATCACGGTCTTCTTTCTTGGTCTATCTTGCTGGCTTCGCTTGGAGGAGCAGAGGCGAAGCTGGACTTGAACTCGAGGAGTAATATCGTGGTTTACTGGGGTATGTGTTCCTTCACTGTTTCGACTTATTAATACTTACATCATATACAATGAAGGCCAAAACTCTTTCAATGGAAATGGGGATAAGGCACAGCAGCCTCTGGCACACTACTGCGATAGTGAGTAAAGCCTATATTTTCATTGTGATCGTTGGAACTAATACGAGACTCTAGATGATGATATTGATGTAGGGACCGGTAACCAGAAAAGCTTTCAGAATGATAGGCTAACAAAAGGACATAGGTGATACCAATGGCCTTCAATATGATGGTCAATGGCCCAGGAGGCGCTCCAGAGATTGATTTCTCCGTTACCAGCAAGGACTGCGAAGTCTTCGAGGGCACCCAATTGAAGAATTGTCCTTCAATTGCGTAAGCATTGCTATAACCAGTTTTGCTGACAATTTTCAGACGGCTGACAACATGCAGCAAGGACATCAAGACGTGCCAAGAGAAGGGCAAGACGATTCTTCTTTCAATCGGCGGAGCCACCTACAGCGAGGGTGGCTTCAAGTCGGAGGAAGCTGCCAAGGACAGTGCAAAGCTGATGTGGGAGACCTTTGGCCCCAAGCAAGAGGGTTCCAAAGCCCTTCGACCCTTCGGTGACGCCGCCTTGGATGGGTTCGATTTCGACTTTGAGGCCAATGTCCAACACATGGCCCCGTTCGCCAACGAGCTGCGTTCACTGATGGAGGCAGACAAGAGCAAGCAGAAGTTCTACTTGACAGCAGCGCCGCAATGCCCTTATCCCGACCAGGCAGACAAAGAGATCCTCAACGGTCCTGTTTATATCGACGCTATCTGGGTTCAGTTCTATAACAACTTCTGCGGCGTCAACAACTTCAACACCGACAGCTCAAGCAGCAAGTACAACTTCGAAGAGTGGGACAACTGGGCCAAGACGGTGTCAAAGAACAAAGATGTCAAGGTAATTATTGGCGTGCCGGCATTCACTTCCGCCGCCAGCACGGGGTATATCCCGGCGTCAAAGTTGGCAGAGGTAATTGAATACACGAAGAAGTTCGAGAGTCTTGGGGGTGTTATGATGTGGGATGCCACGCAGGCATACGCCAATGATGGCTTTATCAAGGACGTGCGAAAAGCCCTGGGCCCTGCGAATGATTCCGGTTCGTCGTCGTCCGATCCGGTGTCAACCTCGGCATCTACCTCTACGTCCACTGACTCAACGACTACAACAAAGACAACGAAGACCTCGTCGTCTTCCAGTGTACCAGACTCCTCACACTCGTCTTCCTCCTCCTCATCTGCTTCTGCTTCGCACAAGGCAGCTGAAGAAACCACCACCAAGGAACAAAAGCCCGTTGCTACCGCTACACCACCCAAACCGACTACTATCGCCAGCACAACAGCAGAGCCCGATGCCTCTACAACTACATCTGCTGAGACAACTGCGGCTCCCATCTCGAATGCTAGCCCGCCGGATGAGAATCACTCGAGTGAGGATAACTCGAAGAGCAACGATGAATCAAGCAACAAATCGGATAGTAATATTCTCACATCTATCCTCGGCAACGACCTTCTTGGTCTACTGAGTGGCCTCCGTAAGGCGAACAATGTTGCTAGCGGCGCCACCCATGGTCCAACGAACAATCTCCGACATGGCCATCGCAACCGCACCTAAGCTTTTGAGGCTGCGACCAAAACAGACATCGTCACGGACAAGTTTCATTCCCTTTAGGAGTTTGGGTCTCTGCGACGTGGACGCAAATTATTGGACTGTTGAGCGCATATGAAGAAGCTTAACGATGAACTTGACGTTAGACGTTATCCCAGACACGGCTTATTTCCATTTTCTCCTTTGAATTTTTCGACATCTTTTATACCCCTCGACTCTGTCCCTTTCAACACATTTAATCTCCTGTCTACCCTCTTTATGATACCCGCTATCTAATCCTGCACTTTGGAATGTTGGAAAATCATACCATTTCCATTCCTTTGTGTCTCTAAATTGGGTCTCCATAATTTCATTGATCATGCAATGAGTATACTATTTGACTCCGGGGTGTAGCTAGTTTATATATCTTCAAATTGACATGGTATCTCACGGCTTCCGTCCACACTAGTAATAAATGATTGAATTCAAAAGACAGAACTAGAGGTATTTGGCGCAATTAGGATACTTGCAAGCAAATTCAACACATTAGAGATTAACATAGACACCCTCGTGCTCTTGTACCTTCCCCCAAGAACACGCCATAATGATAACATCCGTCACCATCGACAAGATCTAATTAGGCCTGGAACAGAACGAAAACAAATGGTACTTAACTCCGGACATCATACCTTTCACTTGATATCCAACCCCTTTACTCAGGCTCCTCCTCCTCCTTGGTTGTAGCCAAGGAGAACCGGCCCTTCGGCGTGCCCGCTTCCTCGTACTCTACCGTAACACGAGACAAGTGAGCAAGCAGATTCTCCATTTTGACCTCCCCCCTGTCGCGCTGGACACGACCCAGATTATCGAGCCACTTGATCTTGTTCATGATGAAGTATACCAGAGCGATAACGATCGTCACACCAAGCGAATAACCCCAGATTCGGACGACAGTAACGATATCGGTCCAGCCATTCGTGGTCTCGACAAAATGACTTTGGGGCTTGGTCTTCATGTTTTCGTTGGTAAACCAACCAAACAGACAGAAGATAGTAGCCAGAACATCGACGCCGAGGATCGCAGTCACCAGGTGGATAGACGGCCATGTGGCGATGCCGCGAGTGACAAAAATGAGCCAATTCTCTGTGAGTGCCACTTCCAAAAAGAGAACCTCTTGAATGGATCCCCAGTTTTGGATAATGCCTCCCGATTTCAGGAACATGCTGCCTCGTATAACCCACGTACCCAAGGCGAGAAGGATACCGAGAAGGACGGAAATAAACCAGATTTTCGGAAGTTGCCATTCAACAGGTCGCAACTCAAAAGATGCATGGTCATAGGCCACCGCAACGGTTGCAAGGTCGGCAAACAATGCCAGGAAGACAATAAGCTCCACGCGGATGCTTTCGTTGAGGATGATCATCGAAGTCACCAGGTAGATCTCAAGGTGCAAGCATAGTGCAATGCGGTACTGGATATATGACTTCATGCGGTGGAAAATTTGACGTGCGACCTTAATTGAGTCAATAATGGTCGAAAGTCCGGGCTCGAGGAATACGATATCTGATGCAGACTGGGCGGCTTCGGAGGCGCCTTCAACGGCGATGCCACAATCCGCTTTTTTAAGAGACGGTGCGTCATTTACACCATCGCCAGTCATAGCAGTCAGGTGGCCTCGTTCTTGCAGCATTTGTACGACTTGGTATTTGTGTTCTGGGAACACCTCGGCAAAGCCGTCCGCTTTTTCAACAAGATCACTAGCCATAGCACCGCTCAAACCGCCGTGAATTAGCTTGTCTGAGTTATACACCTTGGTACCCAAAGCCAACATTTTGCAGGTTTCTTTCGCAATGGCGATAGCATCACCGGTCAGCATCTTGACGCTGATACCGAGATTCTGTGCTTCGCTAATAGTATGAGCGGTGTCTTCTCGGGGCGGATCAAACATAGGCAGCATTCCAAGCAAAGCCCAATCTTCGCCTTCCTTTTGAACAGCAACACCCAGAGAGCGGAAGCCTCGATGCGCAAATTCCTGGGCTTTGGCCTTGTATAAGGCGGCTGTCTCCTTGGAGCAGCTTGTCAATTGAAGTATGGCCTTCGGAGCACCTTTGGTGCAGGTATACCGAATGCCATCACAGGTGGCAATAGTCACAATACGTTTTGAAACCGGATCAAAGGGCGTGAAAGTTTCAGTTGTCCAACCTCGTCGCAAGATTTCTCGTGCTCTTGGGTATTGCCTTAGAGTCAAGATTGTCACCTTATCAATCGGATCGAGAGATTCAATATTGTGTGAGGATGCAAGAGCAGCAACAGCGAACATCCAGTCAACGTCGACGCCTTCAGCTACGTAAGGATCACGAATACTCAGTTTGTTTGCCGTGAGAGTGCCGGTTTTATCGGAGCACAGAATGTCAACACCCTATTTTCGCTATTAGTATTTGACGGTAGTCCAAGTTGATGTGGACTTACGGCTAGGGATTCAATTGCAGTCAGCTTTTGAACAATGGCTTTCTTTTTCGCCAGATAGGCAGCACCAACAGCCATGGTGGTAGTGGTCACAACAGGTAGACCAACGGGTACACCAATGATCAATAAAGACAGAGTGTAGTGGAGCAACGTCTGCTGATCGGGCGAAGCGATGGGAATATGACGGAAGAATCCGCCTATCCATGCAGCGAGGATCCAAGCCATAACAAGAATCAACAGAGATGTTCCGATATTGTCCATGACAAGTTCGAAGTGACCAGCGCCTTTAGCAGATTGCACCATAGTTGCAGTGCGGCCAACGAAGGAAGTTCTCGCAGGAGTTTGGACGACTGCATAGGCCTTGCCACGCTTGCAGCCAGTCGTATAGAAGATCATATCTCCCATATAACGATCCACGGCTAGTGACTCGCCCGTGATGGCAGAGTGATCGCAAGCCAAAATAGGATAGCCCCGTCTGCGAGCCTTCTTCGCCTGGTGTTCATCCTCCTCCTTAGCCTTGCTATCGCCTTCACCCTTTTCCTTGGTTGGTCCATCCTCTTCTTCTGACTCGGACCCTCCACCGAGCATACCTTGCTCTTGAAGCTGGTTGAACTCCTCCCAGCCATGTTCGTCCTTGACGTCACAAATAACCCTAGAGTCCGCCGGCACGACTTGACCTTCACCGACAACGACCTAGATGATTGGTCAGAAGTCTGCTGTATACCAATGCTCGGGACCATCCAAATAAACTTACTACATCGCCTGGGACCAACTCTCGAGCAAGACATTCCTGTTGAGTGCTGTCGCGAATAACCTGCGCGCGCAGGGCAATGTCACCTTTGAGACTCGCAACCACATCAGCAGCCTGCTTCTCCTGATACCAGCCCACTGACGCGTTCAGACACAGGATACCAATGATGACACCAAAGTCAACCCAGTCCTCTAGACCAGCAGCAAGCAAAACAGCCAACTCCATGACTATGCTCAAGTCAGCGTGGTAGTCAAGAAAGGGGCGATAGGAACTCACCGTAAAGAATGGGACCTTGGAAGTAAGAAAGGATCTTGGCAATAGGATTCTCCTTCTCGGATGTCAACTCATTCCACCCAGCCCGACGACGACGCAGTGGAACTTCATCGCTAGAAAGTCCCTCTCGGACATCCGTCATGGTCCACTCATCGGGAAATTTGCCGGTTTCCGCTTCGACCTTTTTGACGCGGACCTTCCGCTTCATCCACGGGGCGTACCAGATTCGTTTCTCGACCAATTCCCCTCTCTCTTCTTCCACTGCATTGGGGTCACGGAACGTCGAAACATACTTGACAAGCTTGCCATACTCGTCCAGAGTGTTCCAGTCCCCGCTCAGAGATGCCCGAGAGATACGTGAGCCACGGCGGCGAGTGTCGGCACGCTCGGCTTTGCCCTCGTCGGACATGTCTGATTTTGTAAGTCAGATAAAGGTCGCCTGATATAGAAAAGCCAGATAGACACATACCTGTCAAATGAGACAAGATTATTAATGATAATAAGAACGAAATGCACGAAGCAAAAGGGGATATAGAAATGAACAAACAATGATATTGAAAGAAAAAGAGCTTTGTAAATATTCTATTCGGCCTCGGCGCCTGCGGGATAACAAGAATTGAAGATAACTGCGATTGTATCTGGAGTAGGAAAGAAAAAAGTCTGCTAGCGTAGCGAAATGTTCCCTTCCAAAGAAAATCATGCTGACGTCGAGCCAGGAAGCCTTCGGGAGACACCTCACGCCCCATCTATGCTCATTGTTTTGGTCTCCGTACTCGGTACTTGAAGGATGATGAAGCCGGGGAACTAGAAGTCAGGGAACCAGGTCTCGAAAGGGACGAGCCGCGGACGACCCGAAGAACTCCCGCCGGGTTTTGATGCATAGAACATTGGTTCAACCAATTCGGGCGGAGACAAGAACAATTCAGTCGGCGCTAAGGTCAAAAGAAGCTGGTGGTGCAAGCAGGTACCTGAATTGACTTCGAGCCAATGAGGTTCGAGCCAATAGAGTATTCACCCACGGATCATGGAAGATGTCTCGGCAAGGCCAGGAGTAACGCTATTAGGAAATGGGTTCAGACCTTCTGTTTATGACTGCAGAATATGGTGGTGTTAGAAACCATCGCATAAAGAAGTTATCAAACGGAGCTGGCCGTCAATCAGTCCATCTATCCCGGCACAATCATTAGGCGTCGAATCTCGTAGTTCTAATGCCATTCGAAAACCATGAATCCGAAGCGACTGGGGAGCCATTCAAGCATGGGCGAAAAAACGAGCTAGGCCCGTTTCTGCTGTAGAGGGTGAGCGGCTGTCCGGATGTCAATTCAATGCATGCAGGTAGTCTTCGACGTCATGCGCGCCCATTCCGCTGGCAGCCGGCCGGCGGAATTTATATCCATTCCACGCCAGTTTCGTGATTCGTCGACGGTCGGAAAGTGAACCAGGTAGTCCGGGAACTGGAAAGTATAAGAAGCATGCTAATGAACAACTTACCCACGGAGATCGCTGTAGTAGAGTCAGAAAAGAAGAGTTAGAAAAA